AAAAAAAAAAAAAAAAGAAAAAGTGTTATGTCCATGTACCCACTACACCTGATGGATGTAACCATTGTGTACTGTAAGAATGGGCTATAAAAATAATAAATAAAATGAGACTGTCACACCTGCCTCTTGGGGTGGGAAGCAGAATGCCTGGAGAGCCCCGGCAGCAGTGAGTGCCCAGGAAATAACAAAATGGGAACATCACCCTAAGTGGGCAAGTGCTCCAAGGCCCTGCTCCCTACTCCACCCCAGAAGTGGACCCAGGGCTGCAGGCCTCTGCTCAGAGCCCCGGGTGGAGCCAGCACCAGGCTGGCCAGCGCTAGGCACCCAGCCAGGCCTCTGAGCTTCTGTGGGCCTTCCAGAAACTTCCACACGCAGGGGAACACTGCCTGCAGAACACAAAGAACAACAAAATCAAGACACATGAAGATGTAATTAGAGGTCTGTGCAAACCGAGTGTTCACATTACTTCTGGATTTAAAATAAGAAAAGAGTTCATTGTATTTGTGAGCAATAGGTGGGGTGGTTTTTTCTCTCACTTTTCAAGGTTTTCCCATTAGCTTACAGCACCCTGTACAACTTAGCAACTGTAATTTTTTTCTATTCATATTTCTTATTGTTTTTAGCAATTGTTAAATTAAAAGAATTTCTCATAGCCAAAACTGTCCAGAAACAAAATAAATTTTTCCTTCCAGAGCTTTTACGGGGGCTGGGGAGCCATGACCAAGGGATGTGGGTGTGGACCAGGCCCCCATCTGGTGTCAGAGTGGCCTCCCTGGTGGCAGGGCAGCTGAGTGGGGGCTGAGCTTGGCCTCACTGCCGTTGTTGGGCTCACGTGCCTGTGAGGGCCTTTGTGTCCCAGGGAGCAGGGGAGGGGTCCTTCCCCATGAGGCACAGGGGCTCTCGAGGGAACTAGGGGTGGGGAGGCAGCACTATCAAGGAAGGCTGCCTGGTAGAGGTGGGCCTAGGAGAAAAGCCCCTCATTTCTCTGGGGCATGAGGGTGGCATGCAGCGGGCACTCTGGGTCCTGCCAGCCTCTCCACCTCCTGCAGAGACCAGAAGGCCCTAGGCCTACAGGTACTGTGAAGCTGCCCGCCTCTCCCTGGTTGTTCAAGGGGTCTGGCTTCCTCTTTCCTGGCCTCTCAGAGCCATGGGACATGATCTGCTGGCCTTCCTTCACTGCCATGCCTGGCACAGGCCTCTCCAGACCCTCTACACCTAGGCCCACAGCAACTGGCTACAAGGGGCCAGTGTGGGGAAGCAGGCAGAGATGGAAGCCAGGTGACCCCTGGGAGGCAGTGGGGTGCCCCCTGGTGGTCACTAGGGGTTGCAGCCGGTGGACTCTGGCCGGAGCATATGCCTAAATCACAGGAAGGGATGGGGGACTCAGCCTCCAGAGGCCTCCAGTACCATCATCACCAACTGGTGATGCTTGAGCCAAGAGTCCTCTGCTGCCCTAGTTGTGGCCCAAGACTCAGTCGAGTATGGAGTGGGGTGACCTCACCAGGACTGGCTGCAGGCCACAGAGCACCTCTGGAGCCCTAATGTGGGTGTGTAGGGACCCCCAAGCCACCTGCAGGGGAAAGGGCAGCACAGCATGGGGGCACCCTTGTCCCTACCCATGCCACCTCCCAAGGTCAAGCAGGCATCTCTCAGGAAGCCAGGGGCCTCCTCCCCAGAGCCCCATCTTGCACCTACTCCTGGGTACCCTGTGAGAGCTGCATGCTACATCTGGGGTGCTGGACTGCTGTGGGCTGCCCACCTGGCCTCAAGCCCCCGCTGTCACCCCAAGCTGGGCTGGGTGTGCTGAGGAAACAAATTCAGGCTGGAAGGCAGTGTGAGTCCTGTCTCCAGATGGGTGGTCACAGGCGCCAGCAGGGCGTGTTCCCCAGCTCACTCCACGGCCCAGCTCTGCTGCTTATGAGCCTCTGTGAGCCTCTGTTTCCCGTCAGAACACAGGAATCCTGCTCTTCTGAGGGACTGTTGTGGGGACTGTGGCAGGCATGTATGAAGCCAGGACACGGAAGCGGAAGGACCACAGGGGCAGTGAGGATGGGGCCTGAGGCAGGAGGCTGCCTCTAAGCACACTCTCTGCCCACCTAGGGGATTCCAGCCCTGAGCCCCTGCTGGGGGCGGGCGGCCAGCCATGCCTTCTGATCCCTCCTGAGCTGCACTATCTCGGTCCTGGCTCTGCTCCTTGGGTGTGGAAAGCCATGTGAGGGCAAAGTGGCCAAGGGATGTGGGTTTAGCATAAGTCCAAGGGACCATCACTCCTGGGCAAATGGGGCTCGAGGCCCCAAGGGCAGTCATGCTGGCCAGAGAGCAGACCCACCTCCGACCTGCTGGACACGGAGGACACACCACTGTGGGTGCTTGTGAGGACAGGGGGGCACACTCAGTGTAGACTGGCTTCTTGGTCCCTGGCAGCAGGGACACCTTCTCCAGACAGCTAAAGATTCCACTGCGGCATACCTGTCACCGGTGTGAGGACAAGGGGGGGACAGGAGGCTGGGGTCAAGCAGTGGGCAGCCAGAAATGCCCCACCTCTTCTGCTCTTCCCGGAAGAAGCAGTGTCCTGAAATGTCCTTACTAGGAAGAGGGTCTAGCAGCTGTTGTGGCCTCCCAGGGCTCCCTACCCCTACCCTTCGCATCCCACACACAGGCCAGGACGGGCCAACCGCCGGAAGATAGCGCTCTCTGGGGTGGGGGGACAGGCTCACACCGGACAGCGGGTGGCCACCCCTCTCCTGGGGGCTGGCAGAAGTCGCGTGCTGCCCTTCAAGTGCTCCGTGTCAGCACAGACAACAGGGCTTCCCAGACGAAGAAAAAGGATTCAGTATTCACAGAGGACACGAGAGCATCTGCAATCCTTAAACAGATTTATGGAAATGATTTTGAATTATAGCATTTAGAAAATAAAAATAATCTCAATACATAATATTTCCTCTGTTACACACTCTCTCCCCCCACAGAAGCCATTTCTACTGCTAGGCAGTAACTGGTTTCATCCTATAAAAGAAGCGATAGGTGTCATCTCTCTAAAAATAAAACTGCAATCGTCATTGCAATGTGAAGCCTGAGATCGAAGCCTGAGGAGGTGTCTGGACCAGGGCCACTGAGAGCCAGCCTGGGCCCCAGCTGCCCGAGGGGTACAGGGAAAGGGGTCACACCAACCAAGCAGGGGCCCGAGAGACTCTGACGGTGAGTCTGCCTGGGGGCAGGTCCGCTCGCCCAGGGGACCACCGGGTCCGCTTGCTGCATTCCCCTCCCAGAAAAAATGAGACGCGTGTTTTAAGCGGGGTCCTGAGGTGGGCAGTGGGCACTGGGGAGTGCGGTGGGCAGGACGCACACAGGGAGCCGTGGCCCTGGGCTGCACAACTCCCTGCAGATTTACTGCCAGATGAGGCTGCGCAGAGTGGCTGCTCTCCCGCCCTGGCACACACAGCAGAGCAGAGCTCCGATGATGGCAGAAGAGCCCAGTCCTGCTCAGCCAGGTACACTGCCTGTGAAGAGCTGCCAGGCCCCAGGGCCAGTGAGGCTGACCTCTGCCTGCCCCATGCCTGGGCTGGGGTCCCCCCAGGTGGGAGCCAGGACAGGAGGGCAAGGCTGTGGCTTTGACGAGACGCGGCGGGCCCTCCTGCAGCACCCCAGCTTCTTCCCAGCAGCCCCGGCGGGTCCAGGAGCGCCGGGCCATGTGTCACATGCCCGCCTTGTCACTGTAGAAGGGCGTGACGTGGAACATGTAGCAGTGCGTGCACACACGCACAGGCTTCACCTGTCCATAGCGGGGCAGTGGCGCCGAGTGGGAGGAGCAGCGAGAGCAGAAGATCTGGAACCAGGGTGGGTGGCAGGCAGTGAGCAGAGGGTCCCAGGTCAGCCCCCCACAGCCCCCCACCCACACTGGCAGGGCACCACGGTTGGGGGCTCTGCCAGCCCTGGCCCCATGGGTGACAGAGCTGGGACCTTGGGGAACTACAAGCAAGACTTAGCCCAGGATTCTGGGGTCCTGAGGGACATCCAGGCCCTGCAGAGGCTACCGCAGGCCTTTGCTCAGGTCCTCTGTGCCTAACCTGGCCCTGGCTCTGAGTGGCCAGGGCTGGACGCAGGTGCCGTCCAGGTGCAGCTTGGTGCCTGGAATCAGAGCAGGCCTGGGACTCCAAGAGGCGCCTGCTCGAGGGCCCCAAAGGCCTCCTCAGCCCCCAGGATGCTGGTCTGACCCCCAGCCCCAAGGCCATACCCACGGGCTCCACCCACCTTCCCGCAGCTGCGGCAGTGGTGCTTCCTGCGGATGACGGTGAAGGGCGCCTTGCACGCGGTGCAGAAGCCGCAGGCCTCGTCTGGCACCCACTCAGGGGGGTCTGTCACAAGGAGAGCCAGGGCCATCAGCAACAGCCAGGCGGTGGACAGTGCCTGACCCCTCTCCTAGGGGCCACCCTAGACTTCAGTGGCCGGCTAGCATTTCTGGAAACGGGTGGCTCACAAGGCACCCCCCTCACTGCCATCCGCAGGGCCTGCAGTCACACCCCGCTGCGGGCCCAGGCCAGGCCACCCGGACTCCGGATACGCAAAGGGGAGGGGGTTCTCCAATGGGTGACCCCGAGCCCTCCCAGCCAGCTGTCCTCATGCATCTGAGTGATACTGTTGGCAGCCCCCACAAGGGCCTGGGCCCCCCCACAAGTATGCTGCAGCACCTCCAAACTCCCTGAGCTCCCTCCCCTGACAGCCACTGCCTGGACCCCAGCTGACTCCTGACAAGAGTGGGGCTCACAGATCCCACATGACCAGGCCAGACCCTGCAGCCCCCTCCACTCCCTGAGGAGCGCCCCACCACTGTCCCAGCATTCCCTGAGACGGCCACGTGAGACCCCTCCAGGCACAAGGGTGGTGGTGGCATCCGGTGGGGGTGCCTGATGCCTCCGTGCTCCACACGCTGCAGCATGTGCCCGCTGGAAGCCAAAGACTGGCACAGTAGCGGGCACTCCTGGGGGCTACAGCCCTCAGGATCCTGAGTCTGCGGACACCACATGAGCCTGGCCCACAGTTCCCCACACACCTTCAAAGTCTCCATCACGGGTCTTGGCCACAAGTTCAGAGGACGACAGGGTTTCCTGGCACAGGGCACAGTCCTCCAAGGCTGCACTCCGCAGGGTCTGGGTGACTGGAGGAGAAAGGAAGGCCACGCAGTGGTGCTATCAGTTGTCCCTTGTGGGCTGCCTGGGTGTTCCCGAGCCCAGAGTGTAGCATGTGGTGAATGGTGTGGCCACCTCAGCAAGCAGGGTGTCGACCTTGGCAGGGTCTCCCTCCTGAGGCCCCCCCTGGCACAGCAAGGTGGCCCTGAGACCATGGAGACTCCTCCCCACAGGTGTCCAGTCCTGCCCCTACCATAGGCAGGGATTCTGTGGGCCCCATTCAGTGTGGCCCAAGAAGCCCACAGTCCCTGTGTGCATAACAGTGCTCAACAGTTCTGAATACTGTCTTCAAGGAGGGCCCTGCCTAGATTCCCCATCAGGAAGGGGCCTGGCTGTGTGGCTTCCAGCAGAGCTGGGTTGGACACATGCTCTTCCTCACCAGTAAGGATGTCCCTGCCGGGCAAAGCTGCAGGACAGGACTTCCAGGACCAGCCACCATGTCCCATGTTCCCAGATACCCCATAAGCAGTAGCCCTAAGGTAAAGGCAGCCCTCAGAACAGGTGCTTCTGTCCGGCACAGGGACAGCAAACGTGTCTGGCCCCTCCTTCCCACCCGCACCTTCAGGGATAGAGGGCCAAGTCCCCATGCCGCAGAACCTCCCTGCCCGACGCCTCTCTCTCAGCAGGCACCTGCTGTGCGCATGGGTGTGAGCAAGGCATGCACGTACAGGCAAGTGTGTGTGTGCATGTGCCTGTGTGCACAGGGGCACACACACACACACACACACACACACACACACCCCTCTGGTGTGAGAAATATGTACACAGGCAGATCAAGGCCAGCAGTAGCTTCTGTCACTCCCCATGGGGAGATGGCCCACGTCCCCTCCCTTCACTGGGGCCTCCGAATGCTTTGACAGACGGATAAGAGTGACTCACATCTGGCCTTGCCTTTGAGAGGGAGGCCAGGTCTCCCCACTTCTGATGGGCCCTTGCTGTCCTCCCCAGGCTGCATCCCTGGTCCCTGCAGAGGGGCTGCACACTGGGTCACACAAAGCCCAGATGCATGGCTGCCTCAGAGCAGCAGGGCAGTCTTCTGTGCACCCCCTTCCTGGGGGTGGGCGGTGCAGTAGGCAGAGGCCTCAGAGCCCATCCTGGGTGGTACTCACCCTTCTTCAGCTTCTCCTTGTCATCCGCTTCTGGCTTGGTGGCCATGACCTCAAACAGGGTTTTGAGGATACTCCTTAGGTCACTTGCGTAGTTTGTCTGCAGCTGGTCAGCCACCCCTAAGGGAGAGGATCACAGTGCGCGGGACAGGGGACAGGAAGGGCAAGTCCCAGCCCTTGGGAGGGAAGGCAGACTTCCTGCATGGCCCGTCACAGGCCATGGGACGGCACAGCCACCACCACTAAACTGCCCGCAGTGCCCAACTGCACTGCACACTATCGAGTCACCATCCCAGCGACCCCAGCAACGGCACAGCCCCCAGCCCCCTGACACACAGTCCCAAAGAACTGACCATGGGGCCTCAGCACAGACACCACGGAAGCAGCCAGGGAGAGCTTATCCAGGAGGATTCGGGCTGCTGCTACACCCACCCTCGCTGTGACCCAGCCACTCCTGGAGAAAAGCCCCACCCGCACCTGCAGAGCTCCTTCCTGAGGAGCCCTGGCTGTGCACTGGACACACTGCTGCCCTCCAGCAAGGCCAAGAAGTGCTATGCCAGCCCACTGGCCTCTGGTTCCCTGAACTGCGCCCCAAGTGTCCTCCAGCCTGTGTGCGTCCTGGGCCCAGACATCACACCTGAGATGCAGACAAAGAGCCGGTGGATCAGGTCGTGGCTGCCATGGAACCTGGACCGGATCTTCTCTCTTGTGACCATGGGGGTGACAGGTGTGACTGCAGGGGCCACCTCCAGCCCAGTCTTGACTGTGACACAGGAAACCAACATGGAGCCACTGCAGAGAAGGAGATGGTGGGTGTGGGGTGGGGCGTCGAGGAGAAAACCTGTCCTGGGACTCTGGCTCCAAGGAGCCCAGGCACCCAGGCAGCTACTTCCTGTAACTCGGCTTCAAAGTGCCACCAGTTAACCCCTGCGTCCCACTTGAAAACCACGTGGCTCTGCCCCAGTGCCTGCCTGCCTGGACCTTCCACTCAGCCAGGCCTCAAGTTTATGCCGCTCCGTCCTGCATACGGTTTAGTATCCTCTGCTCGCTGCCTCCTATGCAAGCTCCTACTCATCTCTTGTGAACCTGAGGGGGGCAGAAAAGTGCCCCTCAAAAGATGTGTCCACACCCCGGCCCTTGGAACCAAGGAATGGGGATGGAAAAAGGTCTTTGCAAGTGGAATTCAGCAAAGGATCTGGAGATGTTAAGATCCTGGGTCCTAATCCCAATGAAAAGTGTCCTTATATGACACAGGAGAGGGAGCAGAGACACACAACGGGGCGGGAGGGCCACAAGGCCAGAGAGCCAGAGACTCTATGACACAGCCACAAGCCAAAGACCACCCGGAGCCACAGGAGCGGGAGGGCAGAAGGAAACGCCACATTCGGCGGACAGGGGTCCAGCCAGTGTTGGACTCTTGGCCTCCAGGCTCTGAGGGAAAATGCATGGGATTTGGGCAGCCCAGCTTGTGGTGCTTTGTGAGAGCAGGCACAGGACACCCATACGTGTCCCTTCCCGTCCTCCCAGTGGCCTGGGCTTATCAGGTTTGCTATTTGGGGTTCACTGTGTCTATTTAACAGGCATGTCTCTGCAGCAGCAGAGCCCCTGCCCCACCCTAGGACAATTTATATCCTACTGTCTATCTGGTCTCCTCTTCCCACTCTCTGGGAAACTTCCCCAGCTTTTTCTTCCACTTCTACCCTTGACACTTTAATTTCTGCTATTTGCTTTCTTATTTCCTATTTCTAATGTTGTCTCTTGGATATACTTTTTTTGTTTATCTAGAAATATTCATCAGTTTTTGTAAGTTGCCATCAGTGGCCAGTGCAACACTGTCTGTTTTCTCTCCTGGAGCCCAGGTCCATTTGTGTGGTCTGCCTCCCACGCCGGACCTTCACGCTGTGGCATCAAATGTGGGGTGCCGAGCTGTCCGGTTTAAGAGCAAGGCCCTAAGAGGGGGCCCACTCATGGGAAACAGGACTGCTAAGGAGCCCAGGCTTGGAGCGATGGCATGGAAAACTGACCTTGGTCTGAGACCCCTGGCAGGAGCCCCTCATGGACAACTCGAGCCCCGGATACATGGTGCAGAGACCCACAGGACCCACATGGAAATACAAGGAACCCAGAGTTACTCTTGAACAACAAACAAAAAACAACTTGGAGGACTCACAACATTGTGTAGCCTGGGCTACACGGGGCGTCCAAGGCTGGCCCAGTCTACACAGCAGGACACTGGCTGTTGTGGCTCTGTCCAGATGCCCCCCAAAGCCTCATGCAGTCATCGGTGGGCTTTTTCTGATGCAGCTGGATCTAGTGTGTGACTGATTCATGGTGCAGTGCTAGGCCCAAGGGCCCCAGGGTTAATTAAGGATGTGAGTGCTGCCCACCCTAAGTAGTCTGAATAAGGTAAAAGGGGCAGAAAGATGCTGTCAAGGTCACTTGTTACTTTGCTAACTTCAGTCTGCCATGAGCTGTTGCCCCTTTGCCCTGTGCCACCTGCCTTGGAGCCAGCCGACTATGGACTGAAGCCTCTGCAAGCTGTGAGCTAAATCAACCTTTCCCCTGTACCTTCGGGTGTCGAGTATTTTGTCTCAGCAACGAGAGAAAAGTAACCAAGACACGGTCTCAAATAAAACATCCTCCAAACAAAAATAAGAACAAGCAATAGAAAAGTATGTTTTCCTCACAATCACTTGGCAAACTCAGTCAGGGACCAGCCAGCTCATACTCTAGATGGCCAGCAACAGTGGGGTGAGTCAGCAAATCAAGTCTCACCCCAAGGCAGAACACTGGAGGGACGCTAACAACACTGGAAACGTTAAGGTGTCCAATGAGAATGGTAAGAGTTTAAACATGAGAGCCATCATGTCCGCAGATATAGGCAGAGACTGTCCATGTTACACTGCTGAACAGTAGCACTGCAGATACATTATTGCTTTCCAAAGTCCCCCCTGTGATCAAGAATCAGCTTCTACAATGAGAATAACCACCGCTGCTACTCCAAGGAGAGGGCCTGTGGTAGGAAGTCGTGTCCTCTTGGGCTCCCCTGGATAGACTTGAGGCCACTGCGGAGAGCAGGGCATTACTGTGCACTACCCAGCAGTGAGGAGTCGGGGAGGGGCCCTGACTTTAGAGGAGCAGAGGTCGGCTGCTGAATACTGTCTCCCCTCGGCCCCAGAGTCCTTCCCTTCCCAGGAAGAGCCCTCTCCTGCTGCCTACCCAGGCATCTCAAGCCCTGGCAGAGTGGCAGGAGAGCCGGAGGGACAGAGTGAGGCAAAGGGGTCCCCAAAAGAGCCTGGTCACAGACAGGACGGTCAGGAGGTACAGGACCCTTCCCTGAGGGATTCAAAGTCCCCAACATTGTCCTGGCTTTGCACTGCCACGAAATGGCCAGGAGGGAGAAACAGCGCCATCCTCAGCAGTCACGCTGACACCACACTTCTGGCCTGCGTCTTCAGCAGTGTCCACATCTGGCAATGGCACAGCTGAGAACTTGCCAAAGGGCTTCTCTCAAGCAGCACTCGTGGGGTAAAACATCCTATTTCATTACAGAGCAGTGAGGGGAACTGCCACACTCTGGGATGCTGAACACAGCAGACAGGATCTTACCGAGCTTTAACTTTCAGTTCTAAACACTTCTTTTTTTTGGTTGTTTTTTGAGACAGGGTCTCACTATGTAGTTGAGACTGACCTGGAACTCACTATGTAGCCCAGGCTGCTGGTCTCAAACTCACAGTGATCCTCCTGCCTCAGCCTCCTGAGCCTGGGATTACAGGCATGCAACATGTTCTAAACACTTCTTAAGCCCCAGTGAATTGGATGCAGTTAGCAACTGAGTTTCTAGACAGAAAAAAGGCACTTATTGCCTGGAGTTCCTGAACCCATGGAAGAAGAAAGAGCACCAGTGCGGAAAAAATAACAGCACCACAGATGTTCTGCTTATAAAATCAGAGAAATTAATCTATGAACCCTTGGCCCATTCTGAAAAGCCCTCAGTAACAGTAAATCAAGGATCCACAAGAGGGACTGGGGGCTCCAAAAGCAGTGCTGATGTGCACCTGGATACAGGAAAGCGTGGACATGTGCACAGCTGCATAGCATTCTAGTGAGCCACCTTAGGCCTGATGCAGACACTAGTGAAAGTCATCTATCTGCTACCCAACCACCCACCCATCCAACCAGCCATCCAATCACTCATCCACCCATAGTCTCATCCATCCAGTCACCCATCCATCCATCCGTCCATCCATCCACCATCCTCCTGTCTTAAAAACATGGAATAAGCAGCAGCTACAAGGTAGGAAATGCACAGCTCAGTCCTTAAGAGCTCAGCATTTGCCAGCAGAGATGAACATGCAAAGTAATTATCACACAATGAGGAAAGTGTAACACAGCCAGGATTGGTAGCACATGCCTATAATTCCAATTACTTAGGAGGCTGAAGCAGGAGGATAAGTTTGAGGCTAACCTAGGAAACCTGGCCAGATCCTCTCTCAAAAAAAAAAAACGAAAAAAAAAAACGGACTAGGGATGTAGCTCAGTGGTAGAGCACCCTGAGCTTGATCCCCAGAAGTGTAGCGCAAGAGCCACAAACAGGTGTCATTACAGGAGTGAGCAGAAGGCCTCCTCGTCAGGGCGGAGAGGCACATGGGATGTCAGGAAGCTTCCTGGAGGGGAAGCCTGGGGGCAGGCTGTGATGTGGGGGAGGGACAGACAGGTGGGGTGACAGGGCTCCCTACAGGACGCTCCACGGACATGCCTGAGAGACACAGCCCAGGGGGGTGAGGGCCGAGTGCCCACATGCGGGCCCATCACCGAGGACACGGGTACTGGGACGGAGTCCCGCCCCCATGGACATAGGGTGGCTGAAGGGTGGGTGTCAGCTCGGAAGCCATGCAGGGTGAGGCGCCTTCCCCTGGAGCCTGGGCTGGAGGATGTCAAGAAGAGGTGGAAGGTGGGACAGGCACAGCAGGGCCCAGCCAACCTACAGAGGGGCAGCAATGTGCCCAACCAGATGAAGAGGAGAGCGGAGGCTTGGACAGGTGAGCGCGGCCTGCCTGGGGGGTTGGACATGAAGGCCTCTGGCCCAGTCACACTTGGCCCCAGACACCTCCTGGGACACCTCCAGGGCTGAGTTTGCCACCCACAGAATGGGCTGGTTGCTTCTGTGTGAGTCCAGAGTGAAACTGGGGTGCAGCTCTGCAGCCGTTTAGATCTAGACGGCCCCAAATGTCTCGTGTTCTGAGGGGCTTCCGGAAGGCGACTGGGTGATGGAGCACTGCTCACTGGGGGCCCCACTGGAGGATGAGTGCATGCAGACCGTACTATAGGAGGTGGGGCCCGGATGGAGGTGGTCACCGGGTGTGACCTGGAAGTGTCCTTGTCCCTGCCCTCCCTTCTCTCTGCTTCCTGGATGCCGTGGCTTGAGACTAACAGAGACTCCCTTCTGGAAACTGGCCCCCGAACTGTCTTCCAGTCACAGCAGCCACGCAGAACACAGCGGGGACTGTCATCAGAGGGACAGCCTCTCCCTGGCAAGAACCCTGGAAGTCTACACCAAAGAGATCCAGCAGGGAGGGGTGTGTGTCAAGGTCCCAGCCCCCAGGACCTCAGAAGTGGCCTTTTGCAAACGGCCATGGGAGATGTCACTGGTTCACATGAGGTCACGCTGGAACTGGGCGGCCCTGATCCAGTAATAAGGCCAGCGTCCTCATGAAAAGAGAACTTCGGCCACAGACATACACGCAGGGTGAAGGCCACGTGAAGACCGAGGAGGTGAGGGGAAGCCTGAGCCTAGGTCACCAAGGATGGCAGGCGCCACCAGGAGCTGGAGGGGGGCTAGGGACAGAGCCTCTCTCACAGCCCCGGAAGGGACCAGCTCTCCAGTGCCCTGATCTCAGACACTTCCAGCTCAGGACCGGAAGGCGATTGGCTCTCTCTGCAGCATCAGCCACCTGGCTCACGGCACTCTGTGACAGTGACGCACTGCCAGCGCCACCACAGCTAGAGGGCCTTGCACCTCTGTCAGCCCAACAGGCCCAAGAGGCCCACAGGTCTTCTGAAGAGACCACACCTCCCTGCTGCTTCCCCTCCAGCCCCTCAGAGGCAACACACACAGGACTGTTCCTAGGAAGCCAAGTCTTCTCTCAGCAGCTCCTACGTCAGCACCAGGTCCCTGTGGGAATGGTAGGGACACAAGCAGGGAGAAGCTCCTATCCAGATGACAACAGGAGGATTGGACTGAGACCAGGAGAGCAGGTGCTGGTCCATGAAACACTGGGCCCAAAGGGTGGGACATGGGGGCGGGGATCCTAGCTGTACAGCTGCCTGTCAGTGGGCTGGTGCTGCCCAATGCCACCATCCCCTTGTGCTCCACGGACACTAGCTGGAGACTGGTGGCCACTCGAGTGTCACATTCTCTTGGAGTGTCCTCCTGAGTTCATGAGCCTGTCCCCAGGGCAGAGGAGACAGGCCTGGAGGTCCTGTGTGACATTTCAGAACTGAGTGGCTGCTCCCCGTATAAGCCTGGGTGTGCAGCTGAGGGGCCGGGGCCCCCCCGGCACGCAGAAGTCAGACCATGAGGGTGGCTGCACGGCTCCTTCTTGCTCCCTGCGCCTCACCAGTGCCAACAAGCCAGCTAGAGGCAGCCTGAGCTCTGCTCTGTAGGGCACCCCTGGAGCCTGCAGTTCTTGGGGATCTGTTCCAATGTGCTCCCATCAGAAACACCTTTGCTAACCACTGGTCACAAACCCCACGCCTGCCAGGCTCTCTTCCTGTCCCCACCTTGTACAAGTGCTGCTGGGCACTGATCTCCCTGACATAGGGTGCAGGAAAGTGCACTGCTCTGTCACTTCCGTTCCCTGAAAGAGCCCTGCACGTGGCCCTCCAAGGCACAGCTGCTGAGCAGGCAAGGAGCCCACATACGCTCTCCTCTGCGGATCCACGCTCTCTGCAGTGATCCAGGAGACAATAAGCCCCAGGACTCACACCTGACCACATGTGGTCCTTTCTCGGGTCCTCTCCTGTGGGGTCAGGAAGACAGGGCCTATGACAGCCTGTCCTTGAAGGAGCACAGGACTCAGATACAGCCGTGGCTGAGCAGTGACGCCCAACACGGATGTGTCCACACCAAATCCCCAGAACCTGTGACGGACTTTTTGAGGAAAGGGTCTTTTTGTGTTAAGGAGGATTCTGAGCTGATCCGTGCTGATCCTGCACGGGGTGAGTGGTCCCTGGGCTCAGTGAGGATCCTCCTGAGAGGCAAAAGAGATGTACAGGCCCCAGGAGGCGGAGGCACAGAATGGAATCTACAATCCAAGCCCAAGACTCTCGCCTGCTAGGTAGTGCCAGCGGGTTATAGGCCCCAGACCTGCTCCTTTCCACAGAACTGTAGGAGTCCAGTCAGGATGGGAGCCCAGAACCGCAGAGCCCAGTGTGGGTGCCGCCACTGCTTGGAAACACAGCAAGGACATGAGGCCGGGAGCCAAAGTGCAAGGGGAAGTCACTCATCCTGGTAAAACACCCTCCTAATAAAGCACTCAAAAGCAATAATCACACCTAACGTGTCACTGTGGCCTAACTCACTCAAGTCAGTGTAAGCTGGAGATCAACGTTAACCACATAAAAGAGCTTTGCAAAGAGTGGACATCTGCTGTGTTTGCTCCACGGATTTCAGCACTGAACGCTGCAGCAGTAGGCGTGATTCGTGCTTTTAGCAGAGGGTGCAAGCCCTGCATGCTGGAGGACAGCAGGGGCAGAGGGAGGACGGAGAGCTCTGGGTCTGTGAGGGAGGCAGCCCTTCCCTGCACTGCGCCCCGAAGCCACTGGCGATTCGTGCTGCCCCTGCCACGCCCCCAGGTGCCAGCCTGGGCAGAGCCTCACTCCACCTCATGTCCTGGGAGGCCGGGCACCCCCAACCGTGCTGGGGTGGCAGGAGGGGAGGGGACACCCTGCTCGCCCACTGAGTGTGGGGATGTCTGCACACACGTATGAGCGTGACGCCTGAGGAGTGTGGATCTGTATGGGTATGTCTATGAGTGTGCCTGAGTGTGGCCAGCGTGCACGTGAGGATCTGAATGTATGTGTGTGCGTGTAAAGGACAGCGCTAGTGCGTGTGTGGCCACTCGTGTGGGCACACGCTCAGAGCCTCCACGCCTGGCCCCCGGGCTCCAGCTGTCCCAGCTGTAGCGCAAGAGCTGGAGGGGTCACCTGGAGCCGAGGAGTGCCGAGGCTCCCCTGCTGCTGTCCACTGTACAGGGCTGTTTTCCGACGGTGTTTACAGCACCAGCTCATGTCACCAACTCCCATGCAAGTGACTTCCCTGCTGTCCCCTGCTTGGAGAAGGACCTGCCGCCTCTACGCATGCCGCCTCCTCTCCTCTCTCTCTCTCCGCCTGCACCGCTGCACCGCGGCCCTCACAGGTGCTGCTGACTACAGCACAGCTCCCAGCCTCTCTATCATTCAGGCCTCAGCCATGCCACCACCTACCATGCAGGGCCTCTGCTGGTTGCTCTCCAGGAGGAAACTACCCGCCTGGTAGGATCAACCCCCCTTTATCTCTACCCCCTTGTAACTGAATCCAGGGCCTCACACTGAGCTACACCATGGCGGCTCTTTTTATCTTTTCTTTTTGTTTGTTTTTGCTTTTGGTTACCGGGGATTGAACTTGGGTCCTTGCACTTGCAAGGCAGGCCACTGAACCTCTGAGCTAAATCTCCAGCCCTCTTTTTATCTTTTCTTTTTGTTTGTTTTTGCTTTTGGTTACCGGGGATTGAACTTGGGTCCTTGCACTTGCAAGGCAGGCCACTGAACCTCTGAGCTAAATCTCCAGCCCTCTTTTTATCTTTTCTTTTGGGACGAGATCTTGCTAAGTGGTTAAAGGCGCATGAGCTGAGCGGGAACTCCTGATCTTCTGCCTCAGCCTCCAGGATTGCGAGGATTACAGGCACGCACTGCCATGCTTGGCTGCCACTTCTAATTTCTTCCTGACCCTGGCGAGAGGACACAAGGGCAGAGGAAGGAGCAGGCGGGGACAATACTCCCTCCCCAGACTCCCTGTGCATGGCCGCCTTGCCGTGGGGCAGTCTTCATAGCAGGTATCGGGTCTTTGCTTTCTCAGGAGTCTAACTGAATCACAGGCTTGATTTTTAAATGCTCCGTCATTCCCGCTTTTTCTTCTGGGTGTGCTGCAGGTGGAGGCCTTGGTGTCGTCCCTAGGTCCCACAGCCCCAAGAGCCAGGCTGGCTGCCGGAGTCCTAGGCCAAGTCCCTGTGAGCCCTTCCAGCTGGTGGCGGCTGTGATCCTCAGACCTGGGAGGACCAAGACATGCAACAGCCAGACAGCACGATCCTGGCTGCTCCGGGGTCAGGACACAGGGCTCACCACAGAGAAGCGCCACAGACCACCCGCAGCCCGATGTGGAGGAGAGATAAGCACCCCCATACGGCTGAGGCCAGAGTGGAGCAGTGGCCCTCAGATGAGGACCCACCCAGGCCAGCAGCTGACGGGGGCACCTGGCCAACAGGCTCCAGAAGCAATTGGACGTACAGCTGGGGACAGGAGGCTCGCCACAGAGGTTCCTTTTCTGCTGCTGGCCACACCCAGCCTCCCCTGGCCTGGGCACCTCCCTGTTGGAAGGATGGGCAGGACCTGTGGGGCTGCGGGCACTTCTCCGTGGCCACCAGGGCCCACACCCTCCCAAGGCCATGGAACTTGGGTCAGGGGCAGTCACCCCAGAGGTGGGGACCCACATCCAAACCAACATGGCCCCTGCCTGGTGCTCACCTAGCTGCAGGCCTAGGGAGCTGAGCTGAGCTGAGTCCAGGAAGCAGAGAAGCAGGGTGCAAAGCTGGGACCAGTAACAGCAAAGATGGTGTACCAGCTGGGAGGGGCAGCGCGAGGAGGGTGGAGAGGAGCGAGCGGCAGCCGGGAGGGCGGCATGGCACAGTGCGCAGCCCAGAGCACGGGAGACTGTGGCCAGCCTTCCCTCACCTCTCCTTCCTCCTTGAGAAGCCAAATGAGCAGAGGACTCGCCGTGGCCCTGCGGCCTGGGCCACCTGTGCACATCACAGGAGTGCACCCCTCAGTGACCCCGGGGGGGGGGGGCGAGGGATCCCCTGCAGAGATGTCCCAGGAGAGAGCACATCAGAGCACAGGCCCGCCTCAGTGCTGTGCCAACAAAAGCCCTGCGGGGTTCCTATCATTCCAGTGAAAATGACAGCCAGGGAGGCCCGCCAAGGTAGGGAGGGGCCGGACGGGGGGGAATCACCAGCCAGACTCCTGGATGCAGCTGCAGAGCAGGGGGTCGTGGGTGGGACATGTGGTGACAGCTGCCCGGACCTTCACTGGGAGGGGGTGGGGGTGGCAGACCCGGGTCTTGCAGATCCCACACCACTGTGCTAGCACGAGTCTCTTGCCCGTAGGAGGGGACAGCAAGGCCCATGCAGACGGTAGGGAAGGGCACAGGTCCCGGAAACACAGTTGAAAACCATGGCCACTGTGAGGGCTGCCGCCTCTCCTCAGGTCTGCACAACGCAGGAGCCACGGCAGTCAGCAGAGAGGTGAGCAGCACACTCAGCCTGCCCAAGGCAACTGGCAAGGCCGGAGGGCGTCTGCGCCAGGCGCTGCCCACACCTGTTTCACTTCAGTGCATGACAGATCCGAACGCAAAGCAAGGGGTCAGGTCCCTGACGCAGAGCCAGCCTTACCTAGAGCCTGAGGGCGGCAGTGGCTCCTCCTGGGTGGCATCTCTTTGCAGGCTGTCGCCCCTGGCCAAGGGGGGCTTCCCGAGTTCCCGCTCTTGGGCCACCGGCTCCTCCTGCTGGTGCGGGGCCTCACCCTCTCCTCGGGTCCCACCTGCTGTGCCCCGCTGGGGTCCTGAGGTGGATGCCAGGCACTTGCTGGACAAAGGGGTATTGTCTGTGGGCAGAGAGGCCTTGGCCTTGTCACTGGCTTTGGCCAAACCTGTGGTGGGGTGGGAGGCACTGACGACCCCTCCCGGGCTGCACTTCTCCCGCAGGCGCTCCATGGCATCCTCCCTGCCGTCCCCACAGCTCCCGCAGCACACACACGAGTGCAGCAAGCAGTTGTGGGAGCCCTGCCCCGGCTCCTCAGCCCCGGGTTCTGGGGGCAAAGCGCCAAGGCCTGGGGTGTCTTTCGTGACCGCAGCAGAGTCTGGGCAGGAAGGTGACTTGGGATTGAAGATGACAGTGGCAGAGAGCTTCATGCCCCCTGTCCGGTGGGCAATTATCTCCGCTGTCTCTGCATCTTCTGTGCTCACCTCCCAGCCGTCCAGGTACAGTTGGGAGTCCAGGCAGCTGCAGGTGGAGCCCATGGCTCCAGCCGTCCGCGCCCGACCATCCTCTGTGTTGTTGTTGCTCCTGTCCTCTTCCTTTGCCCTGTCGACCTCCACCTCGACGTGCTGCCTGCTCTGCCCTCTCTCCTGGGCACCACTTGCCCACCCAAATGGGCCTCCCGGGGACTCGGGCCTAGTGGGCGCCTCCGCCGCCTCCACATCCTCCATGAAGAACACTCGCTCCTCCTCGTCACCACCCAACTTCGGCTGCACTCTGCCCGGAGAAGGCTCCCTGTGGGGGCTGCCCTCGGTCCCCGGCCTGTGCGCAGGGGACTGGCAGGCGCTGGGTGGCGAGAGCAGAGATGACATCTCATCCCCGGCCCTGTGCACCAAGCGGCTGAGCTCCTCCAGCTCCTGGTCATCATACTGCATGGAGCAGGCCAGCTCTGCCTCTGGACCTGGGGCCTTGGCGGACAGCGGCTCCTTGGGGGGCAGTGGCGTGGGAAAGGTGGGTGCCAGGGCAGAGGGCACCTGGGCATCGGTGTGGATGGGGAGCTCCACATCCTGGGAGACGCAGAGGCTCCGCTCCAGCGTGTGCAGCTCCTCCTCGGTCAGGGCCTGCAGCAGATCCCTATGGGCCAAGACCAAAACAAGCATGAGTGTCCCAAAGGCCACAACAGCCTCCTTGGCCAGGAGTGCACGGAGCCCCTGAAGCCTGCATGGCAGAAAAGCAACCAGGCCACCAGCACTTGCACTGAATTTACACAGCACACGATTCATCCTCTACAAAGCAAGGCACTGGGCTCGTCTCCTCCATGCCACACACAGCAACGGGGCCAACAAGGATAGTTTCTTTCTTAAAAATTAGATTCTGGGGCCGAGGAATTAGCTCAGTGGTTCCGCTGCCTGCTTTGCAAGTGCAAGGTCCCAAGTTCAATCCCCAGGACAAAAAAAAAAAGAGAGACTCTGGAACCTCTCACTGGAAACAAGAATGCCCCGATTCTTAGGAATGCATTGATTGCATCAGTAAGATCTCTAAAGCATAAACCAGGTGTGGTGGCACCCGCCTGTAATCCCAGCACTTGGGAGGCTGAGGCAGGAGGATTGCTGTGAGTTCAAGACCATCCTGGCTACATAGTAAGTTCCAGGTCAGTCTCAACTACAGAGTGAGTTGTCTCTAAAAAAACAAAAAACAAAAAAACTCTAAAGCATGAAAAAAGTACAGATTTTCATCCTCCGCTGCACGAAGATTTCTGAGCATCAGCTGCTGCCAGGTGCTGACGCTGAGGGTCTGTGGTGAGACAGACATCTGTGCAGACAACGGTTGGTTGGGCTTTGATGACAAGTGCGCAAAGAGAAAGGCAGGCCCCCGAGGAGGGGATGACAGGGCACCTGGCTTGGCCTGAGAAGGCTTCCAGGAAGCTGACATCTGAAAATGCCCTTAATTTGGTGACAACTCGGTGAACCCAGGGCCAGGCTGACAAGCTGGCCTCACACTACTCTGCTGGGAAAAGCTCAGCTGGGCCTGAGTACAGAGAGGAAAGTGCTCTTCCCAGAACAGCGCGGCTCGCTGAACTTGCACAACCCAGACATTCCCATGAGGACAGTGTCCAGATCAAGAAATGAGACACCAGCCAGAACCCAAGCACCCCACATCTTTCCAGTCAGTCCCAGCACCGCCACCACCTTGACAGCACAGGCAGAGGTGGTCTCGCCTGCCCTTGTACTCAGGAAAATGGAAATTATGGTTTAAACGCTGCGGCAGCCTTTGCTGGCTGATACTAGGCTTTCATAGATCACTGGATAAAATACAGGACACCCAGTGAAATCTCAATTTCAGATAAACAACACATACTTTTAAGTCTTAAATGTGTGGTCTTTAGTGTAAGTAGACCTCAGATGCCCCCATTTGGGATGTACTTACAAAACAAAAAGTGTCCTACCATGGTGGTAGGGATCTGGCAACCATGTGACGAAAGGGTCAGCCACAGTGAGGCACATGGCTGGAGACTGCTCCTTCCAGGCCCTTGGGTTGGCTGTAGACACACCATGGCCCAGTGCTGTCCTCACCCGTCCCTCGTCTGATGGTGCTGGCTGTGGTGGCCTCCTGCCCCCATGTGTCTCTCCAGGAGAAAATACAGGTGCGTTCCCTCAAAAGCCCACAGAGAGGGACTGGTACCCTGCAGGGGGTTGGTGGCTGTGTGGACACGCTGACAGCTCTGCCCACTTGTGTCCTGCATCGACACTGGGTTAGATTTTTAAAAATTTTCCATCATTATATTTTGTGATAATGAATACATTCATCCTAGGATATTGGTACAAGTACACACCACATCTTGATCCTTTTTATTTCCTCTTCTCCTCCTTTCCCCATCGTATTTTCAATCATACCATCCTCTCTGGTGGGAGATAATGGTCTCTTCTGTGGCCTTCACTGCTGTGGGCTAGTAACAAGCGAGGTGGATCGAGTGCTGTCTAGCACTGAGTTACCGGCCCCGCATGCCTGTGAGTCTTCTGCCCTGTCTCACTGGTTGTCTTTTTCTTCTTGATGTGTAGCAGCATCCTGCATATTCTGGGTTGGAGTTCTAAGTGGACACAGTCTCCCACTCTGCAGCTTGCCTTTTCACTCTCTTAATGGTGTCTTTTCATAAACTGAAGTTTTAAATTTTAATGATATCTAAGTGCATCACAGTTTTTCCTTGTGTTTGTGATTTTATGCCTAAGAAAGATTTCCCTAATCAGGGTGACAAAGGTACTCTCCTTGATTTTCTTCTCCAAAAGTTCTGTTTTATTTTTCACTTTGATTTCCCCAGTCTAAAATTGATTCTGTGTGTGATTGTGGTAAGGGGTCCAAGAGAGACCCTTAGACACCAAGAGAGATCTGTAAATTATACCACCTTCTCACTGGAGTCTCACTGGCTCAGCCCACTTTTTAGGAAACAACAGCCACTTCCCATGGTTCGGCAATGTCACACTGTCACTGATCAGAAAACTGGATGAAGGGCCGAGGATGTAGCTCAGTGGTGCGGCCGCCTGCCTCGCAAGCACAAGGACCTGAGTTCAGTCCCCGGTACAAAAAAAAAAAAAAAAAATCATTTTATCTTCATTTTGGAAGGAGTTTTTACTGGCCGTAAAATTCTGGTTGGCAGTCATTTTCTGTTGGCATTTTCAATACACTCCACATATAATTTCAGGACAGTCTTGCTTCCATCATTCTTATTTTTGTTTTGAGATGATAACTGTCTATCTTATGTTCCTTTCAAAGTAATGTCCCTTTTTCGGCTTTTAACATTTTTTCTTTGCTCTGATAGTTGTCCTATGACACAGCAAGGTATGATTCTTTTTGCTGCTTACAGTTTTCTTGAGCAGCCTGAATCTATGGGTAGATTTCTCAACAGTTTTGTAAAACCCTAGCCACTGTCTCTCTGACTACTGCTTCTGCCCTCTCTCTCTGTCCCTTTGTTTGGGACTCCAGTCACGTGTTGGACCTTCTGGGTGCATTGCACTCATCTCTTAGGGTGTATTTTGCTGTTTTTTTTTTTTTCTTTTTTGGTAAGAAAAAAGTATTGAGAGAAAGAAAGCTTCTGTCTGAGAGACAGCAGGGGGACTAGAAAGTGGGTTGCCTGTCGGCTGTTGTTCCTTATTTGTTCTCCCATCCTTTTTCTCTGGGTCTCCTCTATCGAGCTTCCTCAATTTCATTACTTCTGTGTTCTGCTGGGGCCAGCACGTTAACAAATCCATTTACTGTGTCTTTGTTTTTAGGCTGTGAATTTTCTTGGCTCTAGAATATCATCTGTTTCTTTTTTTAAAAATACCAGTTCTCTAAATTTTCGGCCTTACTATCCAATTTCCCCTTCTACTTTCTTTAGTGCATCAATCACAATCGTGTTCAAGTATTTATGTGTTAATTCTACGACCTGAATCATCCACTGTCTGCATTAACTATCAGTCATTTTTTTCTTGCTTCTTTATATGTTTAGCAATTTTGAATTACATGATGGACACTGGGTATGGAAGAATCACAGAGGTGACAAATGAGGGGCTCCCCTCTCCTCTGCTAGACAGGTGGTGTGACAGCCCACCACTGCGTGGTGGTCAGAGGTCACGGAGGTTGGGGCTGAGCAGAAGCTACCGTGTGGTCACTGCTGCTCTGAGCCTGGTGAGTCTCTCTCTACCCAGACCCTGAGGCCCCAGGAAATCCAATTCCACCCTTCAGTCCAGCTCAGCCTCCAGCCTCCTGCCTCCTGCAGCTCCAGAATCTGGCAAATGTCCCCAGGCAGTATACCTGCACGTTTTCATCACCTTACCTTTCTGGACTCCAGGAGTCTCTGCCAGACTCCTTGCCTCCCCAGAACCTGCACAGTGCAGCCGCAATGCCCGAGTTCCCCAGGCATTTCGCCAACCCCTCGCACCTGGGCTCTCTCCCTGCAGAGACTGAGCCGCTCAACCTGAGCCCTGGACAAGCAAATACCTGGAACTGTCAAATGCTTCTTGGGGCAAAAAAAGTGGCAAGTAAGAGAGGGAGCTCACTTCCTCTTAGAAAGACTCCCTTGTCTACTGGACAGCACTTCCATGGCTTAGGGAGCTTTACAAATACGATTTTTCAGACCTCTTCAGTTTTTTCCAGTTTTGCACCTGAAAAATCAGCCTGCTCTAAAGTGAGGCAAACTGTCTGCCCCAAGGCAAGGCCTTGAAGTGTTTTTAGAAAAGACATGAAGATGGCTGGTCCTGTCTGCCTGTATTTAACAACATTCACTTAATAAATATGCATTCACAAAAATTTGACCTTATTCACCAATTAATTTTTGATGGATGGTCATTTATCGGCACTCTATTTAGCTATCTCCCTCTGGCTTTTCTCTCCCAGGGTAGGCAGAGGACTCTGAGATGAAGTCTTCAGTGTCTGAAGCTGTTTAAAAACATCAGGCCACACAAGGCAAGAAATTAAACAGAAAACGAAAAAAGGAAGCTAACAACAGGAAAATAACATGACAGAGATAAGATAACACATATCAGTTATAACTATCAATGCTAATGGTCTCATTTCACCAATCAAAAGAAACACACTGGCAGAATGGATCAACAAGCAAGATCCAACAATATGCTGCATATAAGAAACATATTTAATTCAAAATCAAATTCACAGACTTAAAGTCAAAGGATGGAAAACAATATTCCATGTGACAAGCACCTGGAAAAAAGCAGGGGTAGTTATTCTATTTGCAGATAAAGTGGATTTCAAGCCAAGACTGATTAAGAGAGACAAAGAAGGTCACAATATCCTTAAATTCAAGAGGAAGAGGTAACAACATAAATATATATGTACCAAATAGCAGTGCACCCAGCTATATAAAACCAATATTAACAGACATGAAAAATCATATAAGCACTAATATAGTTGTAATGGGGGACCTCAATACCCCACTGTCACAGATAGACAGATCAGCTAGACAAAAAAGCAACAAAGAAATATTAGAACTGAACCAAACTTTTGAATAAAGAGACCTAGGAGATGTCTATAAAGTGTAGCACCTTACAACATCAAAATATATATTCTTCTCAGCTGTACAAGGGATCATCTCCAAGACAGGCCATATACTACCTCATAGAAATGCTTCAGTAAATGCAAAG